CCATTTTCACCAACACAAATCTTGAATAAAATAGCTGAAATTAATTTCCCACACATTTTGAAATAGGGAAAAAACCACTTAAAATTTAATATAAAGAACAGTAAATTCTTAATAGTACTAAGCGTGAAATTGAGAGAAACAAAAACTTAATAGTACTTAATTCCTCTACATCATCTTCACCGACACCAATCATGAAGAAAATAGCTGAAATCGATTAAGATGGTAAAACCAAAACCAAAAAAAAAAAAAGGGAAAGTAGAGGAATTAAGATGGTAAAACCAAAACCAAAAAAAAACTCGACTGAAACACGAAGCAAAAATTCCTAAAGAGAAAGAGCTTCAATCCAAACAAACAAGGGTTAATTAGCTTAATATTAGTTTTGGAGTAGGTATTTAGGTAACTACTATGCAATGTTCTAAAAAGCATTCTAGGCGTTTGCCTAGGCGGCGCTTAGGCGCTAAGCATTCGTAGACCGTAGCGATTACCGTTTATAGCGCATAAAATATTATGGTATTATAATAATAACATAATATAAATTTTTTTATATATAAATCGTAATATTTTATATATTTTGGTATAAAATGGTTAATATAAATACAATATAAAAAAATTTCTTCATAAATTATGTTTTTTTTATATATTTACTATATATATAATATATTTATGTATTTTTGTAAAACGTTTAGACCGCCTATTGAATCGCCTAGGCTCCGATTAGGCATTCGAGGCACTAGGCGTTGGATCACAGCCCGCTTAGCGCCTAGCGCTTTCTTGAACATTGCTACCATCTGCATAATAAAATTTAGATATCTAAGAGAGAGAAAGAAAATCTGGACAAATTTGCCCTTACAAAATTGTTTAGGGAAAGTAGTAAAAAATTATGATATGACAATCATTATTTTAAGAAAAATAGTAAAAATCCTTTTAAAAAAATTCCTAACAATCTTCTCTTGAATTAATCACACGAAAAACTGCTCCTACGATTATATTTCTGCAAAAAGTAGATGTGTGTTCAAAAGATGACAAAATTAAACAAAAAAAAATATGTTGTGATAGTTAACGATTTAATAACATAGTTAACTACGAATACTATTTATAAATTTTAAAAAATATAGTTAACTATTTTCAGAGCATATTTATCTATTCTATTGATTTCAATACATAGTTGACTACAAGAAAATATTTTTGACATAGTCAGTTATTTAAACAAATATAGTTAACTACGTTCAGAACGTAGTTAACTATTATAGTTTGCATAATGAAAAAACTTAAGATCGACATAGTTAACTATTATCAAAAACATAGTTACCTATTATACTGGTTTTCAAATATAGTTAACTATTATCAGAAACATAGTTACATATTTTTGAACATAGTTAACTATGTCAATCTCCATTGATATGTCAATCTCCATTGATGGTGACAATGAGTTAAGAACAAAGTAAATCCATGACAACAAGTTAAGATTATATAATTGCGAAATTGAATTTAAAGAAAGAGTAGAAGATCTTCAATT